TAGAATTAGATAAGATATAAAGTTATATAAGGGACCTCTTTGTAATAAGTATGTAAGAACAGAGTTAGAATAGATTGGGTTACAATATTAGATCGATCTTGTTTCTCCGTTTTCTTTGTTGGATTTTAGAGGGATAACTATTTCGTTTCTATTTTCGTCTGTGTGTGTGTGTGTGTGTGTGTGTGTGTGTGTGTGTGTGTGTGTGTGTGTGTGTGTGTGTGTGTGTACCCTCCTATCCACCTTTTCCTCTGCTTCCACCCTTCCCCTTTCTTCCTTCTTCGTCATTCCCTTCACCTCCTTCGTCACCTTGCTTCCTCTTTCCTTCCTTCGTTCCTTCTTCTCCATTCCCTCGCCTGCTCTTTCTTTCCCCCGTTCCCTCCTTCGTCATTCCTTTCATCTCCTACTCTTCCTTCTCTTCCTCCTACCCCCTCCCCCTTTCTTCCCTCGTTCCCTTCTTCGTCATTCCCTTCACCTCCTTCGCCTCCTTGCTTCCTCTTCCTCCCCCTCGTTCCCTCCTTTATTCCCTCGTTCACCTCCCTTCTTCGCTTCCTTCTCCCCTCTTTTTTCCTCCTTCTCCCTCCTCCTCCACTCCCTCCACCTCCCCCTCTCCTCCCAACCCTCCACTTCCCCTCCTTCCTATTCCTCCACCTCTTACTCCACCTTCTTCCTTCTTCCTCCCTCTCCCTCCCTCCTCCTCCTATTCCTCCACCTCCCTCCTCCTCCACTCCCTCCACCTCCTCCCCTCCTCCCAACCCTCCACTTCCCCTCCTTCCTATTCCTCCACCTCCTCCTCCACCTTCTTCCTCCTCCCTCCTCACACTTCCTTCGCGCCCCCAGGGACAAGCGACTTAAGGAGATGAACAAGTTCTTCGGGCGCGGCCTCCTCCTCGTCAGGAACCCGTTCGACACCCTCATCGCCTACAGGAACTTCCTCTCGGCGGGGCACTTGGGCGTGGCAGGACCCACCGCTTTCAGGGGACCAGGTAACGACGGCCTTTGCGGAGGATTTTGTTGTTAGTTTTTGTTGTTTGTTGTTGTTTTTGGTTTTGGTTTTTGTTGTTGTTGTGTTGTGGGTGTTTATTATTGTTATTGTTATCATTATTATTTTTATTACTGTTATTACGGACTTTGTGGAGAATTTTGTTATTATTTTTTTGTTGTTGTTGTTGTTTTGTTTTGTTCTTGTTGCTGCTGTTGTTGTTGTTGTGTTGTAGGTGTTTATTATTATTATTATTATCATTATCATTTTTATTACTGTTATTGCGGCCTTTGTGAAGGTTTTTGTTATTATTTTTTGTTGTTGTTTTTTTCTGTTGTTGTTGTTGTCGTGTTGTAGGTGTTTAATATTATTATTATTATCATTATTATTTTTATTACTGTTATTACGGCCTTTGCGGAGGTTTTTGTTATTATTTTTTTGTTTTGTTTATGTTTGTTGATGTTTCTGTTGTTGTTGTAGGTGTTTATTAGTATTATTATTATCATTATTATTTCTATTACTGTTATTATTAGTAGCAGTGGTATCATTATCATTATTACTGATTTTATTCTTCTCATTTTCTTTCTTTTCCTCTTTCTTGTTCTTGCTGATGCGCTGATAATCCTTTATCGTATTGCTCCTCTTCTTATTTTCATTACATGTAGTTCCATTTATGTATACATGTATTTATGTATGTATATATGTGTTTATATATATGTGTGTGTGTGTGCATCTGTGTGTGTGTATAAATATATATATATATATATATATATATATATATATATATATATATATATATATATATATATATATATATATACATATATATATATATATATATATATATATATATATATATGTGTGTGTGTGTGTGTGTGTGTGTGTGTGTGTGTGTGTGTGTGTGTGTGTGTGTCTGTGTGTGTGTGTGTATAGAGAGAAACATAGAGAGAGACAGACAGACATACAAGGACAGAAAGACAGACAGAACCAGAAAGACAAAGAGACAGAGAGAGAAACAGAAAGAGAGAGAGAGAGAGAAGAAAAGAGCAAAGAAGAGAAGAAAAGAGTAGAAAGAGAGGAGACAGATAACGAAAGAAAAGAGACAGAAGGAGACACCAACTAAACCCTTCTTCACCAACAGCCTGGGACAGATTCGTCAGGAACGAGATCGAACTCTGGAAGTCTTACGCTGTCGACTGGATTACACTGAGCAGGTAATGAGGTCGATTTTTATGCATTTTCTTTTCTTAAGGTCGATTTTTATGCATTTTCTTTTCTTAAGGTCGATTTTTATGCATTTTCTTTTCTTAAGGTCGATTTTTATGCATTTTCTTTTCTTTACATTAAAAATAGAAAATAAATGAAAATATGCATCACAAAAATAGATAGATAGATAAATGAAAATGTGCAACACAAAATTTGATAGATAAATAAATAAAAAATATGCATCACAAAAATAGATAGATAAATAAATAAAAAGGTGCATCACAAAAAATATATGAATAAAATATATGAACAAAAAATAAACACAAAATGTGCTTTGCAAATATATAATAAATACAAAAAATGAGTGAATAAATAAAAATATTCATAAAAAACTACGCGTCATAAAATGAATAAATAGATAAACAGATCACAAAAAGTAGTAAATAAGAATATATATCACAAAAATAGATAAAAATATGTATAGAAAAATAAGTAAATAAATGAAAAAATGCATCATGAAAAAGTAATAAATGATAGTGAATAGATAAATAAAAATATTCTTCACAAAAAAAATACAAGAAAAATCAATAAAAATGTGTATCACAAAAAAATAAATCAATAAAAATATGGATCACAGAAAAATAAAGAGAAATATGCATCACAAAATAAATGAAATAATTTTTAAAATGCATAACACAAAATATATAAAAATATGCATCACAAAAAATAATAAAAACATTTTACATCAGAAAAACAAATCACAAAAATGACATGAAATTATGCATAACAAAAAAAAATAAAAAATATGCATTACAAAAACAAATAAACAAAAAAAACGATATATGCATCACAAAAAATATGAAATTATGCATCACAAAATAAAAGATATATATATATATATATATATATATATATATATATATATATATATATATGTATATGCATTACAAAAATAAATAAATAAATAGATAAATAAATATATGCCTCATAAAAAAATGCATACCAAAAAAAAAATAATAAAATAAAATAAAATCATACATTACATAACAAAAAGCAAAAAAAAAGCAAAACATAAAATAGGCCTCACCAAATATCCCACGCGAATCCCACTTCCCTTTGCCCAGATCGTCGCACGTGGTCCACTACGAACACCTCCTGGAAGACCCTCGCAAAGAGCTCCTCAAGATCCTACACTTCTTGAGGATACGAGTCGACAACCGGCGGTTCCAGTGCGTCCTCAAGAACCTCAGTGGAGCCTTCAAGAGGACGACTCCCAACGGCGTCTATTACAGGTTGAGGTGAGCGAAAGGGAGGAGAAGAAGAGAGGGGAAAGAGGGGAAGAGAGAGAGAGAGAGTAGTAGTAAGATAGATAGATAATGAGAGAGAGAGAGAGAGAGAGAGAGAGAGAGAGAGAGAGAGAGAGAGAGAGAGAGAACCTCAATGGAGCCTTCAAGAGGACGACTCCCAACGGCGTCTATTACAGGTTGAGGTGAGCGAAAAGGGGGGAAGGGAGGAGAAGAAGAGAGGAGAAAGAGGGGAAGCGAGAGAGGAGGAGAGAAGAGAGTAGAAGGAAGAGTATAGATAGAGAGAGAGAGAGAACGCTCAATGGAGCCTTCAAGAGGACGACTCCCATACGGCGTCTGTTAGCAGGTTGAGGTGAGCGAAGGGGGGCGGGGGGAGAAGAGAGGAGACAAGAGGGAAGAGAGAGTAGAGGTTAGGGGAAGAGAGGAGAGAGAGAGAGAGAGTAAAGGAAGAGATAGATAAGAAGAGAGAGCGAGAAACTCAATGGAGCCTTCAAAAGGACGACTCCCAACGGCGTCTATACAGTTGAGTGACGAAAGAGAGAAGAAAAGAAGAGGACGACTCCCAACGGCGTCTATTACAGGTTGAGGTGAGCGAAAAGGGGGGAAGGGAGGAGAAGAAGAGAGGAGAAAGAGGGGAAGAGAGAGAGAGAGAGAGAGTAGAAGGAAGAGATAGATAGAGAGAGAGAGAGAACCTCAATGGAGCCTTCAAGAGGACGACTCCCAACGGCGTCTGTTACAGGTTGAGGTGAGCGAAGGGGGGGGGGGGAGAAGAGAGGAGACAGAGGGGAAGAGAGAGAGAGGGGGGGAAGAGAGAGAGAGAGAGAGAGAGTAGAAGGAAGAGATAGATAGAGAGAGAGAGAGAGAGAGAACCTCAATGGAGCCTTCAAAAGGACGACTCCCAACGGCGTCTATTACAGGTTGAGGTGAGCGAAAGGGAGGAGAAGAAGAGAGGAGATAGAGGGGAAGAGAGAGAGAGAGAGTAGAATTAAGATAGATAGATAAATAGAGAGAGAGAGAGAGAGAGAGAGAGAGAGAGAGACCCTCAATGTAGGCTTCAAGAGGACGACTCCCAACGGCGTCTATTACAGGTTGAGGTGAGCGAAAGTAGGGGAAGGGGGGAGAAGAAGAGAGGAGATGGAGGGGAAGAGAGAGTGAGAGACGGGGGAAGAGAGAGGGAGAGAGAGAGAGAGAGAGAGTAGAAGGAAGAGACAGAAAGAGAGAGAAAGAGAGAACCTCAATGGAGCTTTCAAGAAGACGACTCCCAACAGGTTGAGGTGAGCGAAAGGGGGGAGAGCAGAAGAAGAAGGGAGGAGAAAGAGGGGAAGAGAGAGAGAGTAGATGTAAGATAGATAGACAGAGAGAGAGAGAGAAGGAGAAGAAGAAGAAAAAGAAGAAGAAGAAGAGAGGATAAAGAGAGGAAGAGAGAGAGAAAAAAAGAAAGGAAGAGAGAGCGAAAGGCGAGGGAGGTAGGAAAAGAAGGAAAGAGAGAGCGAAGGAGGTAGGGAGAGAGAGAAAAAAAACTCACAACGGCATCTATTGCAGGCTGAGGTGAGCGAAAATGAGAGAGAGAAGGAGAAGAAGAAAGAGGGTGGGGAAAGAAGGAGGGAAGAGAAAGAGAGGGAGGAAGGGGGGGAAGAAGTAAGACAGCGGGAGAGGGAGGGAGGGAGGGCGAGGAAGAGAGAGAGAGAGAGAGAGAGAGAGAGAGAGAGAGAGAGAAAGGAAGAGGAGAGAGAGAAGGGGAGAGTAAAGCAAAGGGGAGAAGAGAGAGAGAGAGAGAGAGAGTGAGAGAGAGAGAGAGAGAGAGAGAGAGAGAGAGAGAGAGAGAGAGAGAGGAAAGAGGAGAGAGAGAAGGGGAGAGTATAGCGAATGGGAGAAGAGAGAGAAGGAAGCAGACTGGAAAGGAGAGAGGTGAGAGAGCGAAGGAGAGAAGAGAGAGAAAGAGAGAAAAGAGGTGAAAGGAGAGAATAGGGGGAAAAGGGCGGTAAGGAAGAAAGAGCAAATTAGAGAAGAAAGAAGGGAGATAAGGTAGAGAGAGAGGAGAGAAGAGAGGAAGCGAATGGGAGAAGAGACAGAAGAGAGAGAGAAAAGAGGAAGAGAGGATAGGTGAGGGAGCAAAGGAAAGAGTGAGAAGCAGAGGAGAAAGAGAAAGAGAGAGGATAGAAGAATAGGAAAGAGTAGAGAAAACGAAGATGAGGAGAGGGTGCAGTCTAGGAGAAAAATAAAAAGCAAAGAAAATTGAGTAAATAATTGTATCTAGATGACAGTAAAAAAAATACATATATATTGATCTCGGTCCATTAGATATATATCTTTTTTAATGCAAGTTATGCAATCAATGATGGATTTCTTCACTATTACATTATTGTTCTAATATATGAAAAATTATTCCTTACATGCTATAAACTAGAACTAGACTTTCGTAATAAAGAAACTAGCTTTGTTCATTAATGGATCCATGGATATAATAAAATATATAATTATTCCTGTTTTTTTTTTTTTTTTTTCTTAATGCCGTTATCATCCTCATTGCATCCATTCTTCCCTGTTTATCACGTCTTTCGCTTCGTCTTACTTGCAACTTTATTGTCATCACCATTAAGGTCATTATTTTATTATCATTATTGTTGTCATTATCATTGTTATAGGTGCTATTATCATCATCCGAATTAAAATCATCAGTTTATTAGTATTATCATCATTTTATCATGGTTATTTTCACTTTATTATAATTAATAATCTATGATCACTATTATTTCACTACCACCAGTATCTATCGTTATCATTTTATCATCCTTATCATTCATTCGTATCATAATCATCATCATTGTCATCCTTACTATCATAATCATCATCATTATCATCTTTACCATCATAAGTATAATCATTATCACCATTACTATCATAATTATCATCATTACTATCATTATCATCCTTACTATCGTCATTATCATCAGTATCATCCTTATCATCATAATTATCATCATTATCCTCTTTACCATCATAACTATTATCATTAATATCTTTACCATCATGAGTATTATCATTATCATCATTAACATCATAATTATCATCATTATTATCTTTACCATCATAGGTATTATCATCATCATCATCATTATCATAATTATCATCATTATTATCTTTACCATCATAGGTATTATCATCATCATCATAGGTATTATCATCATCATCATTACTATCATTACTATCATCATTATCATCTTTACCATCATAATTATCACCATTATCATCCTTACTATCGTCCTTATCCTCTTTCCCTTCCTCCTCCAGAGACCCATACACGCCCGAGCAACACCGAGTGATCGAGAGCGCCATGAACGAAGTAGACCAAGCTCTTATGCAACACGGATGGCCCCCTTTGCCGATGCACCTCTACAGCTACAACTACGAGAACTTCACGAGCGCCCCTGTCAGCCACCGCCGTCAGCACCAGAGTCAGCCCTCGCACCAGCCTTCAGACAGTTCCGCCCTGACGAAGGGGACGTCGGGAGGTGATCAGCAGAATGATATAAGAGGGGAGAAGAGGAAGGCAAAAAGTCCGTTTGGGGATCCCAGTGGGGGAGACAACGAGAGTAATGTGATTAAATTAAGTCCCTGGATGAAGAATAGATGAATTTGTGGTTTTTATTATTTTTCCGGTTAGTTTATTTATCATATATGTTTAATCTTTAGTGGTGTTCGTTGCAGGTTCGTTGTATTGCAGTGTATAAATGCGTGAGTGATAAGATGATTTTTTTCCGTTTATTGTTTATATTAGTTCATATATTACATCTTCAACTGGCAACAACCATGACAGAGAGTTATTTACTCAATGTACAATACTGACATTTACAGTATGAATGTAATTGATTGTTTGTCTTCAATGATTACATTCCTGATATTATATCCTCACTCAGTCATATCACAAAGAGAAGAAAGGAGATGTAACAAAAGCATTATTCTTAAAAAATTCTTTATACCCAAATGCTCAAAAATAGAAGATATATATAT